CCAGATTTTTTGATTTATTGTAGAGATGAGGTCTCGCTGCCCAGGCAGGTCTCGAACCCGCGGGCTCAGGCAATCCACTCACCTCAGCCTCCCAAAGGCGCAGGATTACAGGCTGAGCCACTGAGCCCGGCTTGCTTGTTTCTTTATTGTGTCTTATGGTGTGATACAACTTGTTTTACCCCTCATATTTTCTGTAACCTGGAAGCTAGACCCAAAGAGTTCTTCATGGCACAGTTTCTAAGTCCCTACTGCATCACACCAGGAGGCATATGATGTCTGGTTGTCTCATATTTAATGATGCTAAGATCTCTCTTTAGGTTCAGGCAGTGATAGTTTCTATGTTGGGGGAAAATATGATAGTTTCTATGTTGGGGGATAATGCTATAGTTTCTATGTTGGGGGAAAATGATAGTTTCTATGTTGGGGGAAAATGCTATATTTTCAATAAATAGTACCAGATTGATTGAATTTCCATATGGAAAAAATATGAACTTTGACTTCTACTTCACACGATGACAAAAAATAATATGAGATGGATTATAATCATAGACCTAGATGTAAAAAGCAAAATAATAAAAATTCTAGAAGGAAAAAATAAAATGTATGACCTTGGGGGAGATAAAGTTTCTTAAGAAGGGCAAAATAAGCACCATAAAAGAAAAGATGCAAAAATTAGACTTCATTAAAACTAAGAACCACTGCTTATCAAAAGACAACCTTAAGAGAGTAAAAAGATGAGACAGAGACTAGGAGAAGATACTTGCAAAATATGTGTCCACAAAGGACTCACTTTCTGAGTAGCCTCTATAAATCAATAGGAAAAAGACAGACCTCCCTCCCAATTTTTAAATGGGAGAAAGAGTCAAACAGGCACTTTACACACGCCCAAAAGGGATATTCAATAGTCCAATAAGCATAGGAAACATTGCCCAATATCACTGGTCATCAAGGAGATGTATATTAAGATCATAAGACCCTTCTATGCTACTTCAGACCCCAATTCAGGGATCACTTCCTCAGAGAAGCCTCTATTCCCTTCCAGGCAGGTTGATCACCTGTTACAGAAATACATAACACTGACTGCCTTTCCATCATGGCCCTTGACACATTTACAACTTCATGCATGTGTGTTCGTGTGGCTCTTGGGAGTATGTCCATCTTCCCTACCAGCTCTCAGATCCATGATGGCAGCACATCTGTGGCTGATCCTTGCATAAACAAGACCTGCCTTAGAATAGATGTGTGACATGTAGTTGGTATATGGATGGATGGATGGATGAGGGAGGCATTGCCACTGACATCTCGCAGGTGGGGAAACTGAATCTCCCTTTGCTTGGGAAACATGTCCCAAGTCACATTACTTACCTGCAGTCATTAATGCAATTAATGCAGGGCTCAGGCCCTGCTAGGAAGTAGATGAAACATCCTTTCTTGGTTGCTGGGTGTTCTGAAGACTCCCAGTTGGGTGGAGGCATTCTGTTCAGATTTTGATGGTTGATCTGGACAGAAAAGCCTGGTAAGTATAACAAGATGAGATCAGGGCTCAGACTGGCCAGGCAACAGACACAAGCCAAGTTCAGATTTTGTTGTTATGGTTCAACTCAGGGAAGAGATCACACAGCCTGCATCTGGCTTTCTGCCCAGAGGAGAGGCAGGATAGAGAAAGTTACAATGTCCTGCCCTGCACTTTTGTGTGACCAGTGGCATGGCATAGGCTCATATCAGTGTGGGACATCCACACACTCACAAACACAATTTTAGACCCCACCCGTAGGTATACAGAGATATGAAAACAGGTGTTCAAATAAAATCTTGCTCATGAAGGTTTACAGCAGCATTGTTCATAATACTTAAAAAGTAGAAACAACCCAAATATCCATCAGCAGATGATGAACAGACAAACAAAATGTAGATATCCATACAATGGAATATTATGCAGTCATAAAAAGGAATGAAGTAGGTTGGGTGCAGGGGCTTATGCTAGTAAACCCGGAACTTTGGGAGAAAGAAGTGGGAGGATCACTTGAGGACAGGAGCTTGAGACCAGTCCCGGCAACATAGCAAGACCTCGCCTCTATAAAAATTAAAAAATCAACCAGGCTTGGTAATGCACATATATAGTACCAGTTACCTGGGAGGCTGAGGCACGAGGATCACCTGAGCTCAGGAGTTCGAGGCTGCAGTGAGCTACAACATGCCACTCCAGCCTCCAGACTCTCGCTCTCTAATGGAAAAAAAAGGAATGAAGTAGTGCCACACATTACAATATGGATAAACCTCAGAAACATTATGCTAAGTTCAAGAAGTCAGACATAAAAGGTCATGGTGCAGGATTCCATTCATATGAAACATCTTTGCCATCCACAATAGGCAAAGCTATAGAGACGGGAAACAGATCAGTGGATGCTAAGGGTTGAGGGGAGGGCGGGAATGAGGGTGACTACTTGATAGGCATGAAGTTTCTTTTTGAGGTGATGAAACTGTCTTGAAACTAGATAGAAGTGATGATTGTATAGCATTGTGAATGTACTAAATGCCAGTAAATTGAACCTTTGAAATGGTGAGCTTTGTGTCATATGAGGGGAACCCTGGCTCTAACTCAGAACTCCCTGCAGGATGTGGGGAAGGCTTGGAAAAAGGGCAGGATTGGATGTTGAATGGTAGTCCATCAAGTACATCACTGTGTGCACACACGTGATTGCCTCTGTGTATACATGTGCAATGAGCCTGCATGCGTGTGTGTGTGTGTGTGATTGGAGTTCAGTTGAGGGAGTAACAGGCCATCAAGAACAGAAAGGAGTAATCAAAAAGGCCATCACAGACACTTCCTCTGTGAGGACCAGGACGGGAGCTCCCGAGGGCCATTCGGCCAAAGCGGGAGACAGTCTTTCATTGTTGAGCGGCCTAGAACTGCACCTGAGAAAAGCCGGGCCAACAGGCTTCCATCCCTACCCAGGTCACACTGCAAGTCAGTGGCACTGGTCTAGCCCCAGCCAGGTCCCCAGGGGCAGGGCTTGTTTTCAACTTGAAGTCAGACTAGGGTCTCCAGGAGGGTGTACCTGGGGGATCCTTCCACACTGGGCACCCAGCCCTGCGGACACCCAGCATTGCCAGGCCTCTACCGCCCTTAGGCTGCTCAGCAGGTTCTGTATTCTGGTCGTTCTGGGGCATGTTCCAATGTACTCCAATAACAGCAAACATTTACAGACATCTGCCTCTGCCAGATATGGGGAGTGGGCAGGGAAGAAAGACCTCATTACCATTCCTCCCCTCCCCTGATGGGGGCATCAGATAAACAAGCTCAATAGAGTTGGGACTGCCATCAATGGGTAAACTGAGACTCAGAGAGAACCCTTGACCTGGCCAAGGACACACAGCCCAAAGCGACTGAGCCCAGAATTTGAACCTGAAAACCCACAGGTCACATTTGGCAGGCTTCCCAATTAACCACCTGGGGAAAGTCTTATGATTCATGGCTTACATCCTGTCCTAAGAGTCTTATTGTAAATCCTCAGATCTTATCGTGAGTTCTTCAGAAAACGGTTGAAATACTGGTCAATACACACCTATAGACACTGAAAAGGACACTGATTTGTTTCTGAATCATGAAGTTTCGTTGATTGTCTTGCACATAAAACATTTTAGGCTGAGTGTGGTGGCTCAAGCCTGTAATCTCAGCACATTTTGGGAGGCAGAGGCAAGAGGATTGCTTGAGTCTATGGTTCATGACCAGCCTGGGCAACTTGGTGAGACTTCGTCTCTAAAATAAATCAAAAAATAAGCTGGGCATGGTAGCATGCACCTGAAGTTCCAGCTACTTGGAAAACTGAGGTAGAAGGATCACCTGAGCCCAGCAGGCTGAGGCTGCTGTGGTCTTGAGTGTGCCACTACACTCCAGCCTGGGTGACAGAGTGAGACTCCAACTAAAAAAAAAAAACAAAAAACTACTTTAGTCTGCATGTCACCATCTGCAGCCAATGATTGCAATCCTTCTGTATTGCATCCCCAGTGAAAAGGACAACTCTGATGTGAGGAATCCCCTCCCGTCTCCCATATTGTCTTATAAAAGTCTTCCAACTTATGATAGACTTGGAAGCAAACCCAACTTTGTCAGTGTTATCCTCCTGGGTCTATTCTCACATTTGGCTTCCAACAAATCTTTATCAGTTTTTTCCTGCTTCAACAGCCTTAATTTTGGCCAATGTACTGTACTTTAATTCAAACCCGTGTTTTTAGAATTAGAAGGTAGGCTGGGTGTGGTGGCTCATGCCTGTAATCCCAACACTTTGGGAGGGCAAATAGGAGGATTGCTTGAGACCAGTAGTTCAAGCCCATCCTGGGAAACATAGAGAGACCCTGTCTATAATAATAATAATAATAAATGAATTAAAAACATATATAGAAGGTAGCAGAGTATGGGCTTGGGTGTTACTCAGACCTGTGCCCAAATCCCAAGCTCAGCCCCTTACTAGCCATGTGTCTTGAGTGAAACCCCCTCTTGCCTTGGTTTTCTTGTACATACAACAGAGCCATAAATATGTCTATCTCGTGGAGAAAGTGGGATGTAAGTGAAATCATGCATGAGAAATACTGAGCCAGTGCCTAGCACATCACAAGTACCCAGTAAGAGTGAGCTGTCTACCTTATGCCCTCAACCTGGCAGCCCCAGACCACCCTAGATGCAAGTAAGGGAGTCAGGGGCCCCTCTAAAATCTTCCAAGGCAGAAGTCAAGCCCTTTTTCCAGGATAATCTTATATATAGGAAAGAATTTAAGCTTGCCATAAAGAATTCTGGCTTTTGCTCTTGACTCTTGTCAGGTAATCTTTGTTTGCCTGGATCTTGGACTAGCCAGATGGTAACAGTATGATATAAGGGTGGGAAGACCAACCTTGTTATTTATATAACTTCAATTGACCTGAGACTGAAATCAACCATGTGAGCAATCAATTATGTTTGTGTAACAGAGGCTCAATAAAAACTCTGAACTCCAGGGTTCAGGTGAGCCTGCATGATGCCTGGAAGTAACACACCTCAATTCATGGGGAGAAGGCAATGGGAGCTCTGCATCTGATACCTCCCCAGACGCTGTTCTGTGTTTGTCCTCTCATGGCTGATTTTAATCTTTATTCTTTCCCTGTGATAAACCATAACTGTGAGTATAATAGATTTTGGTGCCTTCTGTGAATCCTTCCAGTGAGTAATCAAACTTGAGAGTGGTCTTAGAAACCACTGAACTTTAGCCGGGCATGGTGGCACGCACCTGTCGTTCCAGCTACTTAGAAGGCTAAGGCAGAAGAATCGCCTGAGCCCAGCAGATTGAGGCTGTGGTGGCTGTGTACCACTGCACTCCAGCCTGGGTAAGAGAATGAGACTCTGACTCAAAAAAAGAACGAAAAAAAAAAAGAAACCCCTGAACTTGCCATTGGTGTCAGAAACAAGGGTGGTCTTGTGAATTTGGCTCCCTCTAAACTACAGCCCTCTGGCAGCTGAACAAATGAGAAGCTGAGGGAGTTGTCCTGAACAGCTCATAGTCACTGTTACATCAGATTTATCCCAGATTCTGCATGGAGCCCTTTAGGTGTGCTGTGTCACTTAAATTTCAACAACCCCGTGGGGTAGGGACTCATCATCCCTTTGACAGACAAGGAAGCTGGGCTCCGAGAGGGGAAGTAACTGGAGGAGCCAGGATGGGAACCCAGGCCTGCCTGACTCCAAACCCGGGATGTGACCACTGTAGGGTACTGCCCTCGCCCAAGAGCCCTTCCACCCTCACAAATTAGGATGTCACTAGCCTGGGACATCTTGGGGTACTGAGCAGGGAAAGAATGAGACCCAGCCCATAGCCCCCGAGGCTTTTCAGAGCAGTTGGGCTCAAGCCTCCCTAGTGCCCCCAAAACGTCATCCCCATCACTCCCATTGTCAGGACCTATCAGTGCTCCACACTGCCTCTGTTTCCACATGTGATCTATGGGTCTTGCACCCTACCCATCCCATAACCTGGGTCCAAAGATACCCAGAGCAGGCAGGGCTGAGGCTGCCACTGGTGTCTCTGCCTGTGACCATAGCCCAGGCCTGGGGACAGGGGTAGCAGACATCCAGGGCAGAAGAGAACCCTGAGGGCTGAAGGCAGCTCCTTTCCCATTCTTGCCCAGCCTGGCAGAGCCTGGCAGATAAGAGTGAGGTCCTGCAGTTGGAAGGGACAAAGGAGAGAGAGGGGAGAGAGGGGACAGAGAAGAGAAGATGAAGGAAAAGAGGCGATGACTGAGGGAGAGGAGGTGACGGAACAGAGGAGGTGGAGGCAAGATGCATGAGAGAGGTGAGGAAGGGAGGGAGGGAGGGCAGCAGGCAATGAGGGGACACCTGGCAGACCGGCTGAGTGGGCAGCCCAGCCCCTGGTAGGGCAGGGGGTCAGGCCTTACGTCGACCACCAGGTTTATGAGCACAGTCCATGTCTTCCTGGAGGGAAGAACAGGGACTGGGAAGACACCGTGGAAAGCTCTGCGTGATTAGAGGCAGCTTCTCCGAGGTGGCGATCTGCACACTGGGACCTGCTGCTCCCTAGCCAGGCTTGCCGGCTCCTGGGCCTTCCCCTGCCTCCTCCCCACCAGTCTCGCTCCAGCCAGCCTGGCACACTCATACTCAGTGCAGGTTTGCTGGTGGAATACTTTAAAACCTATAGAGCAATGAGACCACGACCCACTTCCACAATGCAAAGAAAACGCAGTGGAGCGGGCCTGTGGGCTTTCTCCCCGAGAGGCTCAGAGGAAAGGCATGCAGTGTGTGTTGGATGGAAGCTCAGGCCGCACCGAGGAGGGGGTCTCCTTTAACTGAAAGGCACCAGGCGACACGGCATCTGTAAGATCCCTGCCGGCAGTGAAAAGCCCTCCTCAGTCCCTGCCCCACTGCCCCTTACTCCCCATCCTGCCCTGGGCCCTGGCATCTGCCTGCCTCCAGCAGCTGCACTCCCCCGCTTCCACTTCATCCTGGGAAATCATTCTTAAATGACAGTGTGAACCTGCCACTGCTCAGCTCGAACAGGGGCTCCCGTGATCGGTCCATGCCTTCACTACTTCTCCCCTGCTCAAAAAAACCCTCAATGGCTCCCCTCTCCCCACAAGATTGTGTCTGCTCATCTTACCAATGCCTTCCCCACCGAAGGCCTGTGATTTAGCCCCACCTCTCCAAGCTCACGACCCCCACCCCTCTGTACCAGTCACCTTGACATCTCACTGCCCTTGAGCCTCGCCCCTTCCACCTCAAACTCCTCTCTCCCCCGTGACTCCTACTCATTCTCTGGATGTTTGTCCTGTCTTCTGGCACATGTCAGGTGCCTCCTCAGTGACCCCACAGGTCCCTGTGCTGCCTCCGTCAGCACAGTCACCCACAACCCAGGACAGCCAACCCAGGACAGCCTTAGAAGCAGGCGGCTGGGCACGGTGGCTCACACCTGTGAGCCCAGTACTTTAGGAGGCGGCGGCAACGGGAATGCCTGAGCCCAAGAGTTCGGACCAGCCTAGATAACTTGGCCAGACCTTGTATCTACAATAAATCAAAAGATTAGCTGGGCATAGTGGCATGCACCTGTAGTTCCCACTGCTTGGAAGGATCTCCTAGCCCCAGAGGTCGAGGCTGCCATGAGTGTGCCAATGTACACCAGCCTGGGTGACAGAGTGAAGCTCCGACTCAAAAAACAAAAAAAGAAGCAGACCATCCCATCAGCAAACACGGCATGGCAATTCCTATTATTCCCACAAATGAAAGGCATGAAGGGCCTGCAGCCATCTCCATGACAAGATTGTTTGGGGCCCTGGCCAGGAGCCCATTGGCCGCCCTCACACCACTGTGCCCTTTAGAGACGGGAGATGATGTTACTTATAAGCATCTGCCAGGTCTTTGCCTGGGCTGTTTCCTTGGGTCCTCACAGCAGCCGGGAATGGGTAGCATTGCTCCCATTTGATGAATGAAGAGCCAGGGCCAAAGGAGGAAAAGCCCAGACAGGTCAGAGGTGTGCAGGCCCTGATGAGAGGAGCCCTGAAGATGGCCCTCCACCTCCAGGCTCCTTTTTTCTGGAGCTGGGCCCACCACCTCCAGGGTCCTTTTTTCTGACTGACAGACTCACACCCTTCTTCCAAGCCCTGGCCTGCCCCTCCTTTTTCCACAGCCCCCTCCCCTCAGACTCTCCATGACCTGGAGGACAGAGCTCAGGTCCCTCTGTCTGGCTTCAGAGGCCTTGACGCATTGGCCTCCTCAGCCAGGATAACACACTCCCAAACCCCACATTGGCCCCGAAGCGGCGGAGCCCCATGCCAAAGGCAGTGCTCAGAACACAGGAGGTGCACACACTGGCTTGTTTATTAGGCAAGGTCTTAGAGACTCAATAAGGCACGATGTCCAGATGGGGGTGGGGCCCCTGGGGGCAGGGCCGGGACTACCCAGCCTCAGTGCCAGTGTTCCACTGGACTGAGTACTCCTGGCTCTCTGAGCAGCTCTCTCTTTCAGCTACCTCTTCTGGGGAGTCTGAGGACTAAGGGGTTCCTTTTATCCCAAGGGACTGAGCATGGGCAATGGAACCCTTGAGGGGAAGAACAGGTAGCTCCATGGTCTGGGGCTCAGCCTGAGGCTCCACAGACCTAGAAGGCACTAAGAACAGAGGGCGGGGCTCAGGGGAGGGCTTGGAGCAGGGCAGGGGTGGGACTCAGCCTGGCTGATTGGCAGGAAGGGCTTGGGCTGGCTGTCACTGAGGCACCAGATGGCAGAGGCACCAGAAGGCAGTAGGAGGGCAGGCTCTGGGGCTTCCTCAACTGAAGTCACGGTTGGGCAGGAGGAGAGGGGCCACCAGGGTCCACAGATAGAGGAGCAGCCCTGCCCAGCTGGCACAGATCTTCACCCACACGGCAGTCCATGTGCTGATCATCTTCCAGGTCTCGCCGGGTCTGAAACACACCATCTTCCCGTGAGCCCTGCCCATAATCTTGTGACTTCTGTCTTGACTCCTGAGTTTATGACCCAGTTGTGACCCCTGACTTCACCTCTGGCTCTTACCCTGTAACTGTGGTCCCTGTCTGATATTTTTGACAGATGGCCTTGTGACTCTGGACATAGCTCTTGATCTTGTACTATAAACCTCATCCTGACCTCAATTCTAACCTTGACCACAGTTCTAGATCATGAAATTGTGACCTGACTCCTGTTCTCTAACCTTCTGATCCTGTCTGTGACCTCTCTCCTAGTCTCTGACCTTGGGACCCTAAAGCTCCTTAGTTCTGACCTCTACCCTTGACTCTGATGACTCTGATTAATCCTGTATTCCAGACATGGCCTCTGACCCTATTACCTTTGTCATAACTCCTTGACCTTGCCACTCCAATCCTGGCTTTATGGCTTCCTAGCCCCAATTTTAACCAAATGACCAAATCTGTGATTCTGATCCCAGCCCCAGACCACATGACTCCTATTCGTGACCCTATAATTTAGGTTCTGACCTCCACACTCCAATCCTAACCTCCAACCATGAATCCCAAATCTGATACAGTGAACCACCCCAATCTGCAAACCCAGGCTGTCCTGCACAGGCCCAGCCCCACCTCCTGTGATCCCCCACCTTTCCATCACCTGGGGAAGACCCCAGGAGCTGAGCAGATGAAGGCACTGGCAGGGAAGCTGGGGCAGGGAAACTGCGGCAAGGAAGGGGCAGGCTCCATGGAGGGCCCCAGACAGACACTCTCACTCCAAGCCTTGAGCAGGCATCAGGAAATCCCAGTGAGGGGCCACAGGGGAAGAGACGTGTGTTACTTTCACCTGGGGCGCCCACACCGTGTCCACGCCCCGCCAGGCTGCCCACCTGTACCAGTTGGTGAGAGTCATCATGATGTGCAAGGAGGCCAGCACCAGGCAGAAGTGGAAGAAGGAGTAGCTATAGGTGACACCGTCCTGCTCGTTGTCAAAGGCCCGGCCTGCGCAGGCCTGCTGCTGCTGCGTGGCCTCCAGTATGGGCGGGCACTCCTCGGTCTGCATCAGGCTGTTCACCTGCCGGTGGTCCGAGGAGCGTAGACTGTGGGGGAGGAAGACGGGTGGTCAAAGGCGGTACCACTAAGGTGGGCAAAATGGACAGTCACGGCATTGGTGGCAACACTTGACACGGATGGGTCCAAAGCCTTGAAGGCCAGCGATCACCCTGGGCCCAGGAATTAACAAACTGCTTTGACTCTTGACTCTACTCCCACCCTGTTCTGACTCCCTGAGTGACCTTAAGCAAGACACTTAACCTCTCTGAGCCCCTGATTCGTCCTCTGTGAAATTGGGGATAATAAGCTGGGTGTGGTAGCACACACCACTACTTGGAAAGCTGAAGCAGAAGGATCACTGGAGCCCAGTAGTCGACGCTGGGGTGGCCGTGAATGTGTGGCTGTACTCCATCCTGGGTGAAGGGTGAGACTCCAACTCAACAAAACAAAACAAAACAAAAAAACTACCTGAGGTTAATAAAAGGGAAACTTAATAGCAAACAAGCACTGTTGATTATTAACATATTAACGAATACAGTTACTGGAATGGTGATTTGCAGTCCTAGGCACTTAATGCATGCTTATGGAAATGGCAAAGGAACACTCAGAGTAACAGTGACTGGTTAATTTATACTCTGTGCCAGGCACAGTGCTAGGGGCTTTACATCACTGTTCTATTTAATCCTCCCAGCAGTCCTGAAAGCAGGTACTACTATCCCCAATTTTTTTTTCCCCAAAGTGCTGGGATTACAGGTGTGAGGTGCTGCATCTAGCAAGATATTTTATTTACTTATTTATTTATTTAGAGTCAGAGTCTTACTCTGTCACCCAGACTGGAGTGCAGTGGCACACTCATGGCCACCACAGCCTTGACCTGCTGGGCTCAGGTGATCCTTCTGCCTCAGCCTTCCAAGTAGCTGGAGTCACAGACATGTGCCACCATGCTCAACTAATTTTTTTATTTATTGTAGAGACAAGGTCTTCCCAAGTTGCCCAGGCTGGTCTTGAACCCCTGGACTCAGGCAATCCTCTCGCCTCAGTCTCCTAAAGTGTTGGGATTATAGGTGTAAGCCACCATGCCCAGCCAAGAGCCTGATGTTTTTAACAGAACTTAATAATTTGAGACACAAGTATGATCTTAAAATACCAATTTGTATTTTGGAAAAGAAGTTAAAAAGGAAAGCTCGATTTCAGCCCCAACCCAGCAAGTTGAGAAAGCGCCCCTAGCTGAGCTTCAGCTGATCCTAATCCTCAAAATACTGTGTGGCTATCTCTTGCGTAGGAGCCCAGATCTGGGGGCGGGAGTGCTGTCAGTGGTCCCGGCCCTCGTGGGCTGCCTGTGTTCTAAGAACAGACATACTCCGTGTGCTTGCAGAAGTGCTGCAAGGAGACCACAGCCCAGGGAGGGGTGAGGATGAGAAGCATCCGGAACACAGCTGTCCAGGGTCAGGACAGGCAGGGAGAGAGAACTGGGGGCAGGAAGATGCCAAGCTCTCAGGTCACTGCCTGCTCATGTACTCCCCAGGTCTCAGTTTCCCCATCGGTACCACAGAAGTAATTGGGCCTTTCCAGGCAGAAAAGGAACCAAATGTGTCAGAGATGTGTATGGCCTATACAGACTTAAGAGAAAATGTTCTGAAAAAGACTGAACCGGTTGGGCACAGTGGCTCACGCCTATAATTCCAGCACTTTGGGAAGGTGAGGTGAAAGGACTGTCTGAGTCCATGGGTTCAAGACCAGCCTGGGCAACTTGGCAAGACCTCATCTCTACAATAAGTCAAAAAATTAGCTGGGTGTGGTAGCACATGCCTGTAGTTCCAGCTACTTGGAAGGCTGAGGTGGAAGGATCTCCTGAGCCCAGCAGGTCGATGCTGGGGTGGTCATGAGCATGCCACTGCATGCCAGCCTGGGTGACAGAGTGAGACTCCAACTTTAAAAAAAAAAAGAAAGAAAGGTCAGGCACGGTGGCTCAGCCTGTAATCCCAGCACTTTGGGAGGCTGAGGCAAGAGAACTGCCTGAGCCTGGGGGTTCGAGACCAGCCTGTGCAACTTGATGAGACCTCATCTCTACAATAAATCACAAAAACTAGCCGGGTGTGATGGCGTGTGTCTGTAGTTCCAGCTACTTGGAAGGTTGAGGCGGAAGGATCACCTGAGCCCAGCAGGTCCACACTGGGATGGCCATGAGCGTGCTACTGCACTCTGACCTGGGTGACAGAGTGAGACTCCAACTCAAAAAAAAAAAAAAGAAAAAGACTAAAACAAAACAAAATGTGAAACAGCCATAAAGTGCTCTGTCCCAGGACCCTGGAGATAGGGGTGGTGCCCCGGTGCCCGGGAGGGTCAGGTGGGGAAGAGAAGCCAAGTCAAGATGCCCTCGAAGGATCAAGGGCAGATGGAAAGTGGTAGGTGGGGAAACACAGGGCCACAGGGAGGCAAGCTCTGAGGCTGCCAGCTTCATGGTGAACAATCACTATGCCTAACATGATGGTTGAGCAACTCATAAAAACAGCCACCACACTGACCTACTTGCAAAAATGTTCAGTCACTTGCAATCATACCCAAATGCACTTGGCACCTGCCTCTCGCCAAGTTCTTTCCAAGTGTTTTGTGTATATTCACTCATCTATAACCCTTCAACAATGCAGGAAAGGGGTACTATTTTTATCTCTATTTAACAGATAAGAACTGACGCACAGAGCGCTTGGGTAACTTGCCTAGGATCACAAAACTACTAAGTGGCAGTCTGGCAACAAAGTTTACACCGATAAGCATCTGCTAGGATGTCCTGAGTTGCTCTCTGGGAGAGTGGGGGTCACGGCCATCTCCACCACAATGGAGGTTGTTATTTTCCTCTTGCAAAGGAGAAAATTGAAGCTTAGAAAGGTTAAGTCACTTACCCCAAGCCACACAGCAGGTGAGAAACAGTCTGAACTCACTGGCCTTGGTCCAAGCCCCTTCTCTGACCCCACAGCTGCCCTCACCAAGTCAACTAGGGTAAGGCAGCTGGTGTGCAGGAAAGGGCCCTGGCCAGGAGGCAGAGCCCAGCCACCTCGGCTCCCCATTCATGCTGTGCCCTCTCAGAGACTTGGTTTCCCCACCTGCACAATGCAAGGGCTGGACACGCTGCTAGTGAAAGGCACCTTCCAGCCTGGTCTCCTGGCTCCTTCTTCCTCCCCTCACTTCCAGCTATGGGCCCCCAGGTATGATTCCTCCCCTGAGTCCAAACATAGCCATACCTGATGAAAAGGGTACACAGGATGAAAATGATGAGGCCCACGATGCTTGGGGCATCCCACCACTGGGTCTCATAGCCCTCTGGGCCTGCCAGGACCGTCTCATTGCCAAGATGGGTCAGCAGGTGTGGGTTGCATTTCTGGTCTAGGAGTGGGAGAACAGTCTCCATCAGCCAATGCAGGTCAGGTAGCCAAGTAATCCCAAGGATGGCAAGAGAGTCAACCTCAATGGACAGGTGACACAACCAACCTCCAACTTCCAGCCACAGAGCGCCCAGCACAAAAAATGGCAGAGACAACTCCAGGAACAGAAGGGCCCTCCCACCTCTGGAGGACTGAGGCTCAGAATGGACAGGAGCTGGGATGGTCCTGTCACCTGTGAGGGTGCCCAACCCCTTGGCAGGCCGATGCTGGCCCAGGAACCAGGCCAGACTTCCTGGAGCCTGGCCCAAACTCACCGGGGACACTGGACAGGGCCGACCAGGTGACAAACATGGTGTAGAGTGTGATGACCGAGGCCTGCAGCAGACCTGAGTTGGGCTGGGCCTCCTGCCAAGAGTCAGTCATCGTTAAGACCCCTGCCAGATCAAGGATGCCTGCTCCCACTCAACCCACTCACACCAGCCAGGTCACCTCAGAAACCCCACCCACCCAAACGACATCCCACCCAGCCCACTCACACCAGCAGGGGAACCTCAGAAGCCCCATCCACCCAAGGGACACCTCACCCAGCCGACTCACACCAACCAGGGGGCCTCAGAAACCCTACCCACCCAAGAGACATCCAATCCCGCCCCACTTTGGAAAAACACACCCGTCAGGTCACCCACCATCCAAAGACCGAGTCCTAATTCTCCTTAAGACCCCTCAGATTACCAGACTTCCTCCCCTGCTGGAAGACTCTTCAGGGACAGCAGCTCATCACCCTCTGAATCAATGCTTCCCTGGTGGGCCCCTGCCTTCATCTCCACCTGGTTGCTGCCACACTCCTCCCCACTGACCACATACCAGCCATGTTGGCCTCCTCTGTCCATAGAACCCACCACACCCTCTCTCACCTCAAGGCCTTTGCACATGCTGTGCCCTCTCCCTGATGTTCCTCCCCAGCATCTCCACATAGGCAGCCCCTCTCTCATTTAAGCAGGACTCCCAAGTGGCCCTGAGGGCCCTGACCTCTCCAGCCTTGTCCCTACCAGCTGCCAGTCTTTTAGTCTGAACCCTTCTTCAGTGCCCACACAGCAAATACTACCAGATCACCTCACTGGGCCTGGTCCCTGCTGCTTGTCCTCCCCTGGTCCTCACCACACATGCCATTAAAAATATGGATCTAAACTCTGTACACAGGCTCTGGAGCCAGCCTGCCAGGGTTTAAAGCCCAGCTCCACCACTGTCGAGCCCTGTGACCTTGGCCAGGCCTCTATTCCTGTAAAAGGAAGATGAGGATGGTATGGGGACCAGATGACAAGACAGAGTCCATTCACCTCCTCCTCTTCTTCACAGCCATATCCCTAACATCTAGAAGATGCTGAAGAGGGTGCATACAATAAGTGCTGAAGAGGGATTTGTTGAATGAATACTGATTGCTGTTTGACCTGGGACAGAGGCATCACCCTCTCTGGGCTTCAACTTTCTCCCTTGGAATGAGGCTCTGCACAGAAGGGAGGTTCCCAACATTTCTGCTAAAGATTTTCAAGAGTTCAAGCTCCCTCTGAACCCCCGGCATGCTGAGCTCCCACACTGAGAAGCATCACTGCATCCACAAGGTGCATCAGGGGTACTTTCTGAAGAACAAACAATTATGCTAAAGCCCCCACCCATTATTCCAGACAGTCTGGGATTGGAAATGCAGAACTGTCCATTCCAACACCACAGCTTGAGGTGTCCAAGGCCCTGATTTGCATAAAAACAAAAATGACAACAATAAGAACTACAATAATAGCCAATATCTGACAAATATCTACATGCCAGGCACTACTCTAAGTGTGTACAAATAAGATCTCAATCCTGAGAACAATTCCAGGTAGTGGATCTTAGGATGCCCGTGTTACGTTAACCGGCACAGAGAGGTTAAGGCTCTTTCCCCAAGACGCCCAGGGTGGAGATGTGGGAGAGCTGCAACGCTAACCCGGACAGGCTGACCTGGGAGCCCTACACGCAGCCCAAGCCTGTAACGGACAGCCTCAGGACTCAGGCTCCCACAAGAAGCCCCACCCACCAAGGGGTCAGGGAGGGCCAGGCAGGCTCACCTGGATCTTGGGCAGGACAGCGGCAATGGACACGCAGACGCAGAGGGTGAGGTTGAGGCTGATGACGACCTTACCCTCGTGGCAGGCGCTGGGCTCGGTGTAGTAGATGAACAACAGCGCCACGGCAGCGATCGACAAGGAGTAGAACAGCAGGGTGAAGAAGAAGAGGCCTGGGGGCGGGGCACTGAGCTGTGGCTGGGGGCGGGAGGTGCAGGGGACTTGCCGGAAAGCCCGCCCCGCTCCAGGCCTCGGTTTCCTCGGGCCTTGGTTTTCTCCTCCACCTCTCACCCACACCTGTGCGAGTCACTGCCCCATTCTGACTGAGACACTTCACTTGCTACCTCATGATAAGGTGACCCTAACAAGAAATACACGAATAAAAACAGTCCTGCGGGACGGGCACGGTGGCTCACGCCTGTGATCCCAGCACTTTGGGAGGCAGAAGCAGGAAGGTTGCTTGAATCCAGGAGTCCAAGATCAGCCTGGATAACACAGAAAGACCATGTGTCTTCAAAAAAAAAATCAAAAAATTAGCCGGGTGTGGTGGCACTTGTCTGTAGTCCCAACTATTTGGGAGGTTGAGGAGGAAGGATTGCATGAGCCCAGGAGGTCAAGGTTGCAGTGAATCATGATCATGCCTCTTCACTCCAGTGTGGGCAACAGAATGAGACTCGGACTCAAAAAAAAACCAACAGATGTGCAAAATGTGAACCAGGAACAGATGGTCTGCCGATGGCCTGCTCTCTCTGCCTGAGAGACGACGGCCAGTTTAAGTTTAGGGAGGTGTAAAAGCCAAGCAGCACCTCAGTAAGCCCTTCTCAACGTATTCAGAACTGAGAAACACAGGGTTCACTCGGCCACTAGGGTTTCAGAGACCAGGTGTCGCTTGAAGTTCATTCTGGACACCACCAACAGTGCCTCTCCTACCGCTGGCTGTGCGTAGGCCACCCTGCAGGGACCACTCAACGAGACTCCTCCAAGACCCTTCCAGGTGTTGCAGCGGTCCTCCGAGCTCCCTGCAGTCGCCCCAGGATGGGTGCCTCCCCCCTTCCCTCCCCCATCTGCCTGGGCCTTCAAATCTTGCCCCAAGGGAAGGGCTGTTTGAGACGCCACCCAGTTTTTTTTTTTTTGAATTGGAGTCTCACTCTGTTGCCCAGGCTGGAGTGCAGTGGCATACTCACTGCCATCCCAGTGACGATCCTTCTGCCTCAGCCTCCAAGTAGCTGGAACTACAGGTGCACGGTACCCTGCCCAACTAATTTTTTGTGTGTGTGTGTGTGTAGAGACAAGGTCTGTTCAAGTTGCCCAGGCTGGTTGCAAAACCGTGGGCTCAGGCAATCCACTGGCCTCGGCCTCCCAAAGTGCTGGGATTACCGAGCCCACCGTCCGCACACCCCCCAACTTTTAGCTAGCATCAGGGACCCCTAGTTCCTCGGGCAGCCGCAGCACTGACCTCCGTACCAGGCGCGGGAGTCGCACTCCTCCGCCCTGCCCAGCCACTGCTGGTTCCAGGAGTGCGCGAAGTCGATGAGCAGGACCAGCTGGATGAGGATGAAGAGGAAGGAGCCCGCGACGCCAAAGTAGAACCAGACTGCGGGAGAGCGGAGCGAGGCCAGGAGGCCGGGTCTGTGGGGGTAGGCAGGCCCCCCCAATCCCCTGGCTCACGTCTACTCACAGAGCGTTCCTGCCCCACACGCACTGGGGGCACAGGGAAGAAGCAGAGTCCCCGCCCTCAGGGAGCCCCAAGCCACCCACAGAGCGCACACAGAATGGCCTGGTGTGGTGGGGTGAGGCGGGTGGGCAGCCCCTGAGTTGCCCCAGGGCCACTGGCCCAGCGCCACAGGGCGGTCTGAGGGGTGGGGGTGAGGACACAGCCAGCAGCCTGGGCCTAAGAGCAGCCCACCTCGCCCTCCCCCCAGACCCCGCCTCCCTCCCCACGACCTCCATTGCCTCCTCTGCAAGCCCGCCTACTGTTGGAGAAGGAGCCGTCAGGGATGTAGAAGGCGCCCACGGTGATGCCCACGAGGATCAGGAACTTAAAGAACCAAAACCTACGGTAGGAATGGACAGGGAAACTGCGTGGGGGTAGGGAAACCGGAAGCCAGACCAGGCCTGACCCCAGGACCCCCGCCCCCAAAGAGCAGATGCTGGGACAGGACTTGCTTTTTTCTTTTTTAAAACTTTTTTTGTAGAGGCAGGGTCTCACTGTGTTGCCCAAGCTGGTCTTGAACTCCTGGCCTCCAGTGATCCTCCTGCCTTGGCCTCCCCAAACGCTGGGAGTACAGGCATGAGTCACCTCGCCCAGGCTGAGGATGGACTTTCTGATGGCCTAATGGGCACAAGACATCAGTCCTGGCCCCAGAAAAAACCCTGAGAGGCAGAGGGAAGGACAAGCAGGGTGAGGATTCTCCCAGGTTCGCCCCAACTGTGTCACTTAAGTGCTGTGTGGCCTTAGGCTTGCTGTTGCCCTTTCTGAGCCTCGTTTTCTTGTCTAAGAAATGGGCATAACCAAACGACCTGTTCTCTGGGCTGTGCCTCCTGGCTTCAGTGGCTCCTGAGTCTGAGGTAGGGTCTGGAGACCTCTGGAGACAGGGAGAGGAGGGGAACCCCTAGGAGAGGGGCCCAGGGTGCAAGCAGTGACCCCCCCCTCTCACCCATTCTGGATGGCAGCCCGGGGGTCCCGGCTGCTGCGTACGCAGCTCATGAGCAGGGTGAACAGGAAGAAGAAGGCCGCCATGGCAAAGCACATGCGGTAGACAGCGCGGTAGCCCAGCAGGGAGCCGCAGTCGATGTGGCCCTGCAGGACCACGGAGGTCCCGGCTCCCTCCTCACACACCCAGGGCAGCTGCGGAGACAGATGGGGCAGCGTCGAGGCCCACCCCCCTGGAATCGCGAGGCTCTCTGTGAACCTGAGGCCTCCTTGGCCAAGGCCAGCCAGGAAGGAGGCTCCCTGCAGGGCTGGGCCTCCCTCCCAACCCCCCGCCCTCCAGGGAGAGCTCTTGAGAAGCTCATGGTCCAGTCACCTCTTGTGACCATCTGTTCATGTCCCTGTTATCATCCCCACAGCCTCAGGGACCCCGGGGACCCCGTCTACAGCAGGGTGTCCCCAGGTGCTCCCCACCCACCATTGCCTGGAGACCCCTCCTGTTGGAACAGAACCTCTAAGGTGGAGTCTGAGAACCAGAGCTCTGCAGACTCCCCAGGGAGTGGCACATTTGAACACACTAAACTGTGATAACCTGTGGCCTCGATGTCCCTGCGGACAGGACAGGCTGTGAAACATGAGACAAGGGAAGGGTGAGGAGTCCCAACCTGGGCCTGGGCAACCCCTCGGCCGGTGTCTGGGGGCAATCATCATTAAGATTTCCTGAGGGGACCTTACAAGAAACAAGGAACCCCCCCACCGTGAGGGTCCCCATATGAAGAAATGTTTTTATTTCCAGCCTCTGCCCTCAGTGCGCTCACACACCCCTGTACCTCTTTGAGGAGCTGCAACGCCAAGCCCGGGCCCTCCAGCCCAAAGCAGCTGAAGTCCTTCGCAGAGAACACAGACTGCTCCCCAAGCCCACACTGCCCCTCTGGGTGGCTCACCTTGTGCAGCTGACTCTCCACGCCAGGGCTCAGCATGATGATGGACACTAGCACCCCCAGAAAGAGGAAGGTCGTGAAGATGAGGCGGCTCACGGTGGAGTTGCGGCTGGCGGGGCAGCAGCCGCATAGGAGGCAGGGGGCCGAGCCGCAGAGGCAGGATGCCTGGGGGAGGGCCAGGCGGCACTGTGAGTCTCTGCCTCTCCCCTGCCCCTCCCGGAAACACAGCTCCCACCACCTGCTCATTCCCATCTCCACATCTGCGCTGAGAAGGCAGGAGCACACTCTTCCGCCGTGCTAGCACAGTCACCTTTCAGGCCCAAGGGGGAGGCTGTGGAAACCAAGCCTGGAAGAGGCTGGGTCGTATAGGGCCACACTGCCGGGAAGCCACAGAACACAGGTTCAAAGCTGGGTCTATCTCAGATGCTACTGAGACTTCAGAGAGATGGCTGGGGTTCCATCATTTCTTACTTACAGGGAGGGAGAATGGTAAAAAAGAAAAACTGGACACAGTGGCTCACACCTGTAATCCCAGCACTTTGGGAGAAGGAGGTGAGAGGATTGCCTGAGCCCAGGCGTACAAAAATGGCCTGGGCAACTTGGTGAGACCTCATCTCTACCATAAATCTAAAAATTAGCTGGGTGTAGTGGCATGCACTTGTGGTTCCAGCTACTTGGGCCCAGGCTGAGGCAGAAGGATAGTCTGAGCCCAGCAGGGTTGAGGCTGCGGTGGCAGTGAGTGCACCACTGCACTCCAACCTGGGCAACAGAGTGAGTTTCCAACTCAGAAAAAAAAAAAAATCAGAAGACCAGTTGTCACTTATTACCTGTGTGATCTTGTATAGCTCACTCAACTTCTCTGAACCTCAGTGTCCTCTTCTGTAAAATGGGAATCATAGTGGTATCTTCTCCTCACATGGCAGGGGTGAGAATGAATTAGAAAGTCTACACTATAATCTCCTCAGCTTCCCCTTTCTCTTTCCCACTTAGCTTGTCTCAATGGGACTTACTACCATCCAGTGGGCTTTGTATGTTACTTATGTTTGTCTGTCTCCCCTTTCTGGCAGGGCAGGGCTTTTTATTTTGCTCACTGTGGTATTTCCAAAAACTGAAACCATGCCTGCCTAGCACACAGTAGGAGCTTAGGGACTATCTGTTGAAGGACTATAAAGTGTTCGGCAAACTCAGGAACTGGCAGCTGCAGTGAGCTATGGGTGAAAGAGTGAGTCTCTAATAAAAATAAAAAATAAGGCCAGATGCAGTGGCTCACACCTATAATTCCAGCTTGGGAGGCCAAGGTGAGAGGATTGTCTGAGCCCACAGGTTCGAGACCAGCCTGGGCAACTTAGTGAGCCCTCATCTCTACAATAAATCAAAAAAATTAGCTGGGCATGGGGGTGCGTGCCTGTCGTTCCAGCTACTTGGAATGCTGAGGCGGAAGGAGCACCTGAGCCCAGTAGGTCGAGGCTGCGGTGGCCGTAAGCGTGCCACTGCACTCCAGCCTGGGTGACAGAGTGAGACTCTAACTCAAAAAAAAAAGGAAAAATAAAAAGTGTTTGGCATAGTATCAGACACATGCTAAGACCTTAAAGCACAGCAAGTGCGAAATAAACATCTGTTGAATGAACAGAATGATTTCCAGCTCTAGGGCTATACCAGTTTTGGACAACAGGTGGCAGTCTAGCTCTTTCCGGCTCGGGGCCCTGCCTGCAGCTGGCAGCCCTTTCCTGGGCTGAAAATCAGGCAGCGGCTGATGATGCCGCATCCTTCACAGCTGGTGCATTGAAACGGAGACTCCCTCCTCTGTGGGAGTCCACAGAGCAGCCTTTGAGGAAACAATCCCCACATCCAGATTCCTCTGGTAAACTATCTTTTCCCAAACAGCCCTGACTCCTCACCCAGGGATCTAAGAGACCAGAGAGCAAGAGGCAAACCTCTGGGAGTTTCCATGGGCGTGAAAGACACTAAACAAATAATCACACGTGTCCTGCCAAGTGCTAAGAAGAACGCGTCCTGCTATGAGAGCGTTAACAGGACCCAACTTCGTTTGGGGGTGGCAGGCCAAGGAAACCCCCTTGACGAAGCTACATTTAAGCTGAGAGCAGGATAGGGAGGCACTGCCAGACCAAGGGAAGGAAAGTTCCCAGGCAAGTGGCTCTGGGGTGGACAGGGCTGGGGCATTTGAGGAGGGGGAAGAAGGCCCTTCTGGCCAAAGCTCTGTGAGCAGGCAATGAGGAGTGAGTGTGAGGTCGCACAGGCCAGCAAGGCCGGGCCACACAGGGGCCAGCTGCCAGGAGCAGGACCCTGGTTTTCCTCCTCTCAAGGGGTCAGAGCCAGGAGACAGGAACAGCCTTACATGGGAAGATCAGCCTTGCAGAGAGCAGGCAGACGGGGCTCTGGCTCCTTGGAGGCCCGCTCCCTTCCTTCTGGACTGATCACAAGGCGCACTCTGCTTGGGATGTGGCTCCTTCCCTCTTAGCCACTCCTGCCCCCCAGACTAAAAATGCTCTTCTTATCCATCTCTACCCACAATGACATTAAATACGATGCTCAGGAAATGAAATTATTGCTCATGATCCAAAGCAAAACAGTCCACCTGGCTGGGCACAGTGGCTCACACCTGTAATCCCAGCACTTTGGGAGGCTGAGGCACAAGGACTGCCTGAGCCCAGGAGTTCAAGACCATCCTGGGCAACATGGCAAGAACTCAACTCTATAATAAGTCAAAAAATTAGCCAGGTGTGGTGGTACATGCCTGTATTCCCAACTACGGGGAAGACTGAGGCAGAAGGGTTGCCTGAGTCCAGTAGGTTGAGGCTGCAGTAGCCATGCTCTTGCTACTGTACTGCAGCCTGAGTGACAGTGAGACGCCAACCAAAAAAAAAACCAAAAAACTAAACAGCCCAGCAGCACCTGCAGCTGCGCCCCCAGCCCTGCCTTCTACCCATGGCTGTCTTTGGTGGGTAAGGAGATAAGAAAAGCCAGAAAAATGTTTTATAGGTAAACAACATTCTGGCTATCAAACAGAGCAGGTTATTAGTACCATTTTACAGATGTGGACATTGAGACCAGCAAGGTTAAGAAACCTAATAGAGGTCACACAGCAAATCAATAACAGTGCTGAGATTCAAGTAATAATAGTGACAGCTGCCATTTATGAAGGGTTACTCAGTCCCAGGCACTGTAGTAAACACTTTATCTACATTAAGCTTCACTGATGTTATGAATTAAGTGTGTGGTAGCCTCCCATTTGCAAATGTAGAAGCTGAGAGAGTTGACATGGCGCACATCACACAGTAAGTAAGCTGAGGAGCTAGGATTCAAACTCACGTCTGGGTGTACCAAGGCCCAGGTTCTGTTCACAGGTCTGCACTACTTCCCACCCACTAACTCACTGATGGTATCTCATTTCATTTAAAAACACCCCAGTAATGAAAACAATCCCTCCAAGACCAGAAAAAAGCCCGTGGGTACTGATGTAAGACATTGGAGACCCAAGAAAGCTGTTCTACTTGCAAGGAGCTTGGCCTTTCAATTCCGTCTGGTTCGTCAAGATCAAAATCAAGGTGTTCCTAATACCTAAAACCTCAGGACTTCCAAAGGCCTGATGAGCAGCCAGAGAAACCAGATCAGGGAGAGGAAAACACAGCCCAGTCCCCTGCTGCTTTCAGAGCATCCTTGGAAACCTTCATCCTCTGTGATCCATTCACCCCACCTCTTCAATGGCTCGCACAAGAATTTCTTCCTACAGAAGTACCAGCCCCCTTAGAAATACTAAGGACAGGCCGGTATGGTGGCTCACGCCTATAACCCCAGCACTTTGGGAGGCCAGGGTGAGAGGATTGCCTGAGTCCATGGGTTCAAGACCAGCCCGGGCAACTTGGTGAGACCTCGTCTCTACAATAAATAAATAAATAAATTAGTCGGGTGTGGTGGCGCATGCTTGTAGTTCCAGCTACTTGGAAGGCTGAGGTAGAAGGATCACCTGAGCCCAGCAGGTCGAGGCTGCAGTGGCTGTGAGCATGCCACTGCACTCCAGCCTGGGCGACAGAGTGAGATTCCAAATGAAACAAACAAAAAAAAATACTAAGGACAGATACACGTGTGCACGCGCACACACAACACAGAAGATCACTGTGGCACTGACCACAACAGGAGAACACTGAAAATAACAAAATGCTCATCAATATTTCATGATTATATTGCAATACAGGGATTGCTTTGCTGAACAGACTAATGTGTAGGTCATACTTAACATGGATACATTTAATTGTACATAAATTAAACCTTAATTAAGTAGATTTTATGAATTTTTTTAAAAGTAAAGAAAGCTGGGCAAGGTGGTTCACATCTGTAATCCTAGAACTTTAAGAAGTCAAGGCAGGATGATTACTTTGAGCCTAGGACTTTGAGATCAGCCTAGGCAACATAGCAAGATCATGCCGCCACACACACAAAAAAAAAAATTAGACGGGTATGGTGATGCATACCTGTAGTTCTAGCTACTTGAGAGGCTGAGGTAGAAGGATCATCTGAGCCCAAGAGGTCAAGGCTGTGGGAAGCCATGATCATGTCACTGCACTCCAGCCTGGGTGACAGAGTGAGACCCCAACTTAAAAAAAAATATTTAAATAAAGAAAACAACTAAAATAGGTACAAAGATCTAGGTTTTGTGAACTTATTAGAATCTCAAGAAACTGCAAACACCTTAAATGTCCAACATCTGGGGACAGTGGCAACCCATGCACTCCACAGGATGTTACAGAGGTGGAAAGGTAAAGTCACTCAGCAGCAGAGTGGCATAGGTGGTGCTTGTGATGCCATGTGAAAGGAAGGCAAACCATAAAGCTGTTCCCCACTGAGCTTACAACCCACAGTGAGCACTCAGGAAAGACAGTGGTGGAATCTTAGCACCAGTCCAGGTCCGCAGAATGGAGAACTCAGACTTTAAGATGCTCTGGTTCTTAGAGTCTTAAAGGTTGCTTGGCATTCAACCAACCCAAGTCTCTTTCCAGTGAAGAATCACTCAGAAAGCAGCCAGCCATCCTCTGCTGCTTGCACACGGCCAGTAACAAGAGGCTCACGACCTCCTGAGGCAAGCTGGACGGCTCTCGAGACGTGCGTGACTTGGCACGGTGGGAACAGGCTGTCACTGAGTCGTTCAC